CGAGCGCAGTCGGACGCCACCATCAGAAAAAAATAAAAATAAAATAAAATAAATGGGCATTTTTGGGGGGCATCCGGTTTTGCCGGTTCACCCCCCCTGGACCAGTCCGGCCCCAGTTGGACCGGGGCAGGTGATCCGGTCGGTTCTCGGCCCAGCCTTGCTTCGTAAGTCGGGTGACGTGAGAAGGTAGCCGAAAAAAAAAAAAAAAAAAAAAAAAAAAAAAAAAAAAAAAAAAAAAAAAAAAAAAAAAGGTAGCCGACACTGATTCTCACCCACGTATGCAATTTAATCTCTGGACAAGACGGCGGGAGGATGACCCCAAACAAGCATATGTTGTTTCAGGGAGGTCGCTACAACCTTGCAGTCGGTATGATTATGACAAATATGCTAAAGCCTCATCAGCTGTCCCATGAGCACACCTGCAGACTGATGAGTTGGGGCATTGGAGGAAGCATTGGGATGGTGTATGATAGGGAATTAGACACACCACTGTGAAGTGAGTCGTCTGGCTGAACCAAGATTCTTGCTCCGCGGTAGAGACACGACAACCCGTCTTGCTCAGTAATCTCGTTCCACTCAAGACCATATCGAGCAAGAGGTGGTGGAGATTTCTTCCAACCGATATGTGAATGCGTATACTTGAGCTGCACGCAGATATCTCTCACGAAGTTCATCGATGAATTAAGCCTTGCTCCATCCGCTGTATAGAGATGGGTGTTAGAGAACTCAAACCGCAATACCTGACACGCAAACCAGAGTACCTGACGCTGAGAGAACAACAGAGCCATTTGATGTAACCCACTGCCCGCGATGAGGACCTCCTACTTTCATGTACAGTTGTACTGGCCTCCTCTTGTGTGAAATAAGCGCCAAGGCATAATGATGTGCTTCATGAACAACATTTAACATATTGTTAAGGATCCTGTTGCGTGGCAAGTTTTTTTCTTTTTGTTTCCCCATTAAACCACCAGTACTTGGCCCAGCTATCGCAGCCGAGCCTGGAAGTGCCCTGCGCGCCGTTTCCCGCCGAAG